CAAAAAGATAAAATTGATATGATCAGGTGGAAGCTTTATTAATATATTTTAACTTTTAAAAAAAAATTAAAAATTAAAATAAAAAAAATTACGAAAATGCCATTTGACCGTGTCGGACACGGTCAAATTCGCGTGTCGGAATGGTCAACGTGTCGGAAAAAGTCAACCGCGTGTCCGACACCGTGTCGGAACGTGTCGCCGTGTCGGAGCGTGTCGGACCCGACTCTTCCTACTTTTACAAGTGTCCGTGCTTCCTTGAGTAAAACTACTAACTCTCTTTGCTACATATTCCTTGACCGTCTTATTCTTGTTAATCACACAGACATCCTCAATATCACGACATTCCTGAACTAGAGTTCCAAAGTCTCTAGATGTCGATCCTGCTATCCTTTCAGTGATGTACTCATTTAGACCTCTACAGAATTTAGATGCCAGAAATTCAGATGTAGGCATCACCATCCTATGGTAAGTAAACTTGGCCAGTTCATTGAACTTAACCAAATATGCATTAATCACCATAGAGTCCTGCACTAGGCGCTCAAACTCTCCTTGCTTTATCTCCCTTGCACCATAGGGGAAATACCTCCCCCAGAATAATTCCTCGAAGAATTGCCAAGTTATAATCTGGCCCTGTATCTCGTAGACCTGTGAGGTGTTCATCCACCACTCATGTGCATCACCTTCAAGCATGTAGTACAACAACTTCTGCGAATCTGTACACTCTATCACTCAAAAAATCTCATCAAGCTCCTTGAGCCATCTAGTTGCAACGATCGGATTATATGCTCCATCGAAGAAAGGTGGCTTATGCTCATGGAAAGCATTCAGCCTGTGTGCTTTCGTCTCCTGGTCCTCAATTGACTTATAATAAGGCTGGGTCATACTAAAGTGGTGACTCGTGATCTCCATGTTTCTCTACTCAGCTCCCTCCTGAACATGAGTCTCTCCACTTCCATTCCCATCATGATGATGGAACAGAGGTGGTAGCGGCGTCGGTGGTGACGACAGATGCTGGCCGTCATTGCGACCAGTCCTCAACTCCTCTTACATGACTTGTATCATGGTTATGTTCGCCCATCGGTTCACCTTCCAGTCTATCTCTCGCATGGTGTCTATCATAGCTTGATTAGCCTCTCTAATCGCATCTAACTCAACTTGCATAGTAGGCTGCATCTCAGCTAATGCAGCTGCAATGGGATCAGAATGCCCATTTGTTGTCCTTCGAGCACTTCTAAGGTTAACCATAACTTTGCACATGTTACACAAAGAATTGAGTTGATTAGACTCACGCTCAGCGGTCACACATGCATCATCATGGTAGTTTCTAAGAGTAACTCACAAGACATCCTAACAATCACAACACAACCTAGACTATCAAGGCATCTTAAGTTATTGCAATGCATAAGGATTTTCTCTAGAAAATTTTCTCTGATACCATAAAATGTAACACCTCATCTGCAGCCGGTGTATTAACATACAAATGGTATTTAAAGTGCATCTTGCAATAATTAATCGCGGAAGCAATAACTGTTTTCTTCAAATAAACAAGGCTAATCCTCATGGTGGATTAACTTTTTCTTTTAATAGCAATCCCTATGTAATTGCAACACTAAAATAAAACCTGAAATACCTCGTACTCATTAATAACAATTCAAAAGCATCCATAATTCATGGTGCCATAATAAAAAATACTCAAGTCAACAAATAAATAGGTCATAAAATAGTGGCATAGACAACCCCTAAGCTCACCTCAAATAACAATAGAATCCAATCAAGTCTCGTCATAATAAAGTCTCATCATGGCAAATTGAATAATCATAATATGCATGACTCATATCAATAATGAAGACTTTACGCTGGCCTCTTGCCTCTATCAGTGTTCGTCTCACGAACGTCATATCCTGAAAATGTGCCCCAAAAGGGGTGAGATTTCTAACAGAAATCTCAGTAAGACAAGGGGTCCTCAAGAAATCCTCCACCCCAAGCTCACTTACAAGTATAATATAAGTTCTAAAATAGTGCAGGCAGTATATATAGAAGCAGATTAATAACAAGATAAAGGGAATGACTATACCGGGCCATTTATAGCAATAATAATGCAGCATATAAAATGAGCATGTCATGTAATATATAAAATGAGTGTGCAAAGTTGCATATGTCCATGTCATAGGTGTATGCATCCTACTAGCCACAAAATAAAATGTAGGGATTACATACGTCTACAACCCACAGTACAAAGAGTCCACCATGTACCTCACACACGGAGTTACCATCTTGCATGTGGCTTGACATGCTCAGGGATTACCGTCTCGTGCGGAATACCCCGCATACAAAAACTTGATACTCACCGGCAAGTATACCGATCGTACAAGTAACATAATGAGTAAGTACAATATCGTCTCCACAGGGATTGTAAACCAAGTACCACAATAACCAGTCCCCTTAAGTTGGAAAGCTCAGTTGTTTTTGGAAAATAGTGAATTGATGGTAAAATAAAGACAGAAATTTAAAATATAAAATTTCAATTTAAATAGCAATGGTCAACTTTGGATTTTTTTGAGAGAATAATAAAAGGCATTGCAGCTAAGATACACGCACCATATGATCCCCACTTTAAACATTGGATTGACCGACAACGTTCATTCAATTTAATAACTTAGACAAATTATCATCTTAAATAATTAGTTAAATCCCAATCCCTTGGCAATCTAACCCTTTAATTCAATTGGAATCCTAATCCCTTAGCAACCCCGCATGAAATTAAGCATTAATCACGATAAATCAAACGACTGCAACTCACACAAGTCTATCCCTAGAGCATGCATAAATTGTTACCTTACCCCCTTTCAGAATCAAAAACCCCAATATTCCTATTGCGAGCCCTAATTCCCAAATTATTATCTCCTATTAGGTTGATCAAGTCTAACAGAAATAATATCAATACGCACAGGGTAAAAATAAAATATATTAAAATAAACGAGCGAAAATAATCAATCCAGCGTGAAAAGGGTTCACATAGGATTTGTGACCCTAACTTCAATAAAAGAAATTAGTCAGCCATAGACATAGCTGACATAAAATTATAAAATAGAATTCAAAATAAAATTACTAGGAGGAACGGAGAATGATCCTCTGCTCTTCTCTTCCTCACGAAGCCTTGTTCTGCTCCGTCGTCAAAAAGTCTCTCCTAAAGAACCCTCGCAGCGTCCTTTTAAGTTCGAAATTGGCTCCACGCTGAAGTCCGCGCGGGTAGCGCCATTCTGGCGCGGCTCTCGCGCCAACTTCCTGGTCTTTGTACTACTTCCGGCGCTGCAACAACGCCAAAGTGGCGCGGGTAGCGCCACTTTCCTTTTTCAATTTTTCTCAATTTTCCTATTTCTTCTTGCTTAAACCTGCAAAAATGATATAAAAGATGAAAAATAAACTGAAATATGAAAACTAACTAATAAAAGTAATTAATATACAAGAAATGCTCTTTTATGACTGATTTCTTATTATTTTTGGCTTGGAAAACATCTCATACCAGAGGCACATCAAATCAATCCAGGAAATAAACAATCATTCCATCATAACAATACATAGACACTCTCAGACTCAATATACTAAGCATGACTGATCTAACATCACAAAATTCCAACAATATCATCAGCTTCATAAAGATGCAAGTCTACATTGATTTACCCCTCACAAAGATAAATAATATTCACTCAACACTCAGTGTTTAGGGTATCATGAGCACTCGATCCAACACCGCTATAACACTACCATAAGCTTGATCATATTCTCAAAATTCTTTAAAATGAAGAATTAAACACATGCACCAGTTGATCAAAAGGACTTCACAGGTTGTATCTTGGCTGGGTTAAACAGGTATGAATATATGGATAGTAGCTCAAAACAACAATGAGATTGAAAAACTGATACTCTTACTATTTAGCACATTCAATTCAATGGTCTTGCTCCACTAACATTTCTACAGAATTTCGGGAATTAATTCCTTTCAGCCACCTTTTATGCATAAATAATAATTTTTTTTTTGTTTTTTTTTCGCACAACCCCTTATCACTTAACCTTTGTGGAGCTTACCTCAATTTCTTTATTTATTTTCAACACATCAGTCATTCAATCTCAAACAGGGTAAGTCACATGGATATAAGCTAAGCCATCAATCAGGCTAACAGGTCATTTATCAACAAAATATGCTCAGGCTCAAGGGGCTAGCAATGGAAATTTTTTAGAGAGGTGGGCTATTTTGGCCATAGGCTAACAAAAACAAAATGCCTTAATCATCTCAACCAATGCATGCATCACAGAGAAACAAATCAAGTTCTAGAATGTTACAACAGTGAAGTCTCTCAACAAGAATTTTCAGTGTTTAAGCTCAAACCTCACAAGTTGTGGTATCAACATAGACTCATGAAAATTAACCTCAGACATTATCAGAATTTCACAACATCAATTCAGACAAACGAGTAATTATGTAATCCAATTATACCTATGAAATGTCATACCAGAATGTCATAAAAACATGCTTCCTAAGATTCAATCAAGGAAGTTAACTGAGTAAGCACATTTAAACCAGAGAATTGCTTCAAAAATATACTTCCAAGTTTTTTTTTTTTTAAAAAAAAAGAAGACACAAACTAACAATTAACTAAAAATAAAATGTAAAGAGTTTAGAATATCTCCCCTGACAGAAAAGATTGTAGTTTCAGAGTGCTTCCTAATGCCTACCACTCCCAGATTTAAAGAATTGTTGCCCCCAGCAATATTTAAACCCAAGATTCTCAAAAACAATCTGCACCATGAAACAAACAGCAGTATATAGAATAAACTATAATCCGCACAAGAAAAACATCACAATGTATGGGACATAAACAAACTCACATCATCTAAATGACCCTAACATCAACCTATGGTCATGATAAAACAGCAAAAGTGCTAAAAAGATAAACTAAAATAAAGCAAATAAAACCATCTCCAGTAGCAAGGAGATATAATCAATCCTCTGTGTCATCTCCCTCAGCAGCATGGGATGACTCAACAAATGGAAGAACTGGTGGCACTGGATGCATTGGTGCATAAGCAAACTGAAAATCATCAAAAGACGCAGAAGCAGAAGTCTTAGCCCTTTTTGGTACCGCCAATTTTTTTCTTAGACTTTCCAGCTTGTGAACCCTGAAAACCAGAAAAATTTCCCAATGCACAGAATATGACAATAGGGCAATTAGATAACAAGTAATCAAGCCGAAAGTATATAGCAAACCACTATTCCCAGATTTGATTCCAACTTTATCTCAAAAATAAAACAGAACAAAGCAACAATTGGAATCAAATTCAGAAAACAATATGTCAATGCATCTTAGCATACAACTCAGCATTTTAATCCAGATAATGAACATGTATTTTTTTTTAAGAATAAAATAAACTCTACATTGGGTGGCCTCCCAATGAGCTCTTGTTTAACGTCACGAGCCTGACGTTTACCTCTTTCAAGTGTTGTTTCCTCTGAGAGACAGAGTCGTAGCGTCTCTCTCATAGGTCCTCCTTTTGGCGACATTCAACCTCCGGTGATCCACACACGTCCTCCAACCAGTAATAATTTTGGTCGGAATTAGTTCATTTTTTTCGTTGTGGACCGCAGTGACGCCTCCCTTCTTCGGAACAGTCTTCACTGGACTTACCCAACCAGTATCTGAAATCGGGTAAATTATACCAGCATCAGGAAGCTTCACCACTTCCTTTCTCATTACCTTCTTCATTGTAGGATGATGCCTTCCTTAAGGTTTCCTAACATTTTTGTCATCATCCTTATTAAGAATTTTGTGGGTACGGGAAGAGGGATCTTTATCTTTCAAATCAGAAATAGACCACCCTATGGTAGTCTCATGTTCCTTCAATACTTCAATCACCGCCTCCTTATTACCCAAGAAGGTATATTGAAGAGTTTCAGGAAGCTCCTTCAACTCTATTTTTGGGGCACCATCTTCTTTCCCCACTTGCTCTAAAACATCAAGTTTAAAACAATCGCCTTTGTCAGAAGATTGTTTCATAGAGTCAAAGACGTTGATGGTAATTGTCTCATCATTCATCCTTAACTCAAGCTTTCCATTTTCAACATCAATCATGGCCCGAGCAGTAGCCAAGAAAGGTCTACCCAGCAAAAGAGGCATATCAGTTTCCCCTTCCATGTCCAACACTACAAAATCTGCCGGAAAGATGAACTTCTCCACTTTCACAAGAACATCTTCAATTATACCACTAGGTTTCCTTAAAGATTTGTCAGCGAGTTGCAAGGAAACCATAGTAGGTTTAAGCTCAGATATCCCCAACGATTTATACACGGACAAGGGCATCAGATTTATACTTGCCCCAAGATCACACAAGGCTTTGCCGACATTAGTATTACTAATAGCAATTGGAATGTTGAAGCTCCCTGGATCATGACGCTTAGGCGGGAACTTCTTTTTAATAATAGCACTACACTCGTCAGTGAGTGTCACCGTTTGGCATCCCTGTAACTTGTGTTTTCTTGACAAAAGGTCCTTCATAAACTTGGCATAATTGGACATATTAGCCAAGGCTTCAGCAAATGGAATATTAATGTGAAGCTTTCTGAATGTATCCAGGAACCTTTCATAATGTTGTTTCTGGGCATCTTTCTTGAATCTTTCCGGATAAGGTGCCATGGCTCTCACATATTCAGGACTCAACTCAAATTTCTCTTTTGCTTTTTCTTTTTTAGCTGGCTTCACCACTTCAGTAGGTTTCTTAATTTCTTTTTCAGGTTTTCCTGCAGGATCCAGCTTCTCTTCAATCTCCGGTGATGGCAGTACTTTACCACTTATGGTTGTGATGACCATACAATCTTCCCTCGGATTAGTAATTGTGTTACTAGGGAAGGTACCTGGAGTTCTATCAGCAATTTGCTTAGCTAGTTGGCCAATCTGATTCTCCAAATTTCTGATAGAAGCATTCATGTATTTGGTATTGGCCCTAGTCTCTTCCATGAAAACATTTGTGTTTTTGGTATTGGCTCTAGTCTCCTCCATGAAAGCATTAGAATGTTGAGCTATTTGTCCAATTAACTTTTCCAAAACAGAAGGCTCCTTTTGTGGAATAGGAGGAGGTTGCAGAAAGTTGTTGGAACTATAGTCAAGACCACCTCCTTGACCTCTCCTCTAAAAATTACTGCCAGAAGGAAAATTTTGATTACTTGAAAAATTTTGTTGGGGCTTCTATTCATACCAAACCCCATTTACTTGCAACTGCTGTGGATTATCACCCATTAGAGTAGGGCACTCATTAGACTCGTGAGCCTCTCTACAGTATTCACACACCACAAAAGTTGATTGAACCTTGGACACTTGCAGTTTCTCAAACTTTTCATTCAGACTATCAAGCTTCTTGGACAACAGCTTTTGTTCAGCAAGCATAGCATCATTGCTCTCCAACTTTATCACTCATTTTCTTGCTTGAACTGGGAAGCTCTCATTCTCATTTCTCGCCAGTTTCTTTATCAAATCCAGAGCTTGCTCAGATGTACTCTGCCGAATAGAACCTCCAACTGCACTATTAATCACCAACCTTGTTTCAGGAGAGATGCCATTAAAGAAGATCGCCACCTTTCTGTCATCGTCTCCCTCATAGTGCGGACACTTTCAGATAAGTTCCTGGAATCTATTCCAGGTTGCACATAGCGATTCTCCTTCAAGCTGGCGAAAGTTGGTGATCACATTCACCAGCTGGTTGTACTTCTCCATAGAAAAGAACTCGACAAAGAACTTTATTGACAAGTCTTCCCATGTCATGATACTATTAGCTGGCTGCCTTTCTATCCATCTGAGAGCCCTTCCCTTAACAGCAAAAGGGAATAATCGAAGCCTGATAGCATCGGCAGACACTCCATTGTGCTTAGTAGTATCACAGATCATCAGAAATCGATCTATGAACTCATTAGGGTCTTCATCCTCAGCGCCAAAAACTTGATGCTCACCGGCAAGTAATTTGATCGTACAAGTAATATAATGAGTAAGTAGAGTATCATCTCCACAGGGATTGTAAACCAAGTACCACAATAACCAGTCCCCTTAAGTTGGAAAAAAACTCAGTTGTTTTTGGAAAATAGTGAATTGATGGTAAAATAAAGACAGAAATTTCAAATATAAAATTTCAATTTAAATAGCAATGGTCAACTTTGGATTTTTTTGAGAGAATAATAAAAAGCATTGCAGCTAAGGTACACGCACCATATGATCTCCACTTTAAACTTTGGATTGATTGACAACGTTCATTCAATTTAATAACTCAGACAAATTATCATCTTAAATAATTAGTTGAATCTCAATCCCTTGGCAATCTAACCCTTTAATTCAATTGGAATCCTAATCCTTTAGCAACCCCGCATGAAATTAAGCATTAATCACGATAAATCAAACGACTGCAACTCACACAAGTCTATCCCTAGAGCATGCATAAATTGTTACCTTACCCCCTTTCAGAATCAAAAACCCCAATATTCCTATTGCGAGCCCTAATTCCCAAATTATTATCTCCTCTTAGGTTGATCAAGTCTAACAGAAATAATATCAATACACACAGGGTAAAAATAAAATATATTAAAATAAACGAGCAAAAATAATCAATCCAGCGTGAAAAGGGTTCACATAGGGTTTGTGACCCTAACTACAATAAAAGAAATTAGTCAGCCATATATATGGCTGACATAAAATTATAAAATAGAATTCAAAATAAAATTACTAGGAGGAACGGAGAATGATCCTCTGCTCTTCTCTTCCTCACGAATCCTTGTTCTGCTCCGTCGTCAAAAAGTCTCTCCTAAAGAACCCTCGCAGCGTCCTTTTAAGTTCGAAATTGCCTCCACGCTGAAGTCGGCGCGGGTAGCGTCATTCTGGCACGGGTGTAGCGCCACTTTTTTGCACTGGGTCGATTTCACGCGCAGGTAGCGCCATTCTGGCGCGGCTCCCGCGCCAACTTCCTGGTCTTTGTACTGCTTCCGGCGCTGCAACAGCGCCAAAGTGGCGCGGGTAGCGCCACTTTCCTTTTTCAATTTTTCTCAATTTTCCTATTTCTTCTTGCTTAAACCTGCAAGAATGATATAAAAGATGAAAAATAAACTGAAATAGGAAAACTAACTAATAAAAGTAATTAATATACAAGAAATGCTCTTTTATGACTGATTTCTTATTATTTTTGGCATGGAAAACATCACATGCCAGATGCACATCACATATACATATGGCAAATGCACTATATCATAATCCAGCTCAACAACATATCCAATACTCAAACATAAATAGCTATAATTTCATAATCCAGCTCAACAACATATCCAATACTCAAACATAAACACTATAATTTCATAATCTAGAACAAGCAACGGATAAATCGAGGACCAAAAGCTTACCTGTATTGATAAAGTCCTTTAATACCAACTCAGTATCTTGCGGTCACCAACAACCAAATAATCCAGCGAGTCACAATCTGGCTTAATGGTGAATACATCATCAATAATCATATCTTATAATTTCATGTCAAATTGAACTTGTTTTCTTTTTCGTTTAGCGTACTACAGGCTTCTCCCAAAGCCACTAAGCACAAAATGTCTTTACCATTTTTAAAACTTCATTTGCAACTCTTTACTAAATATTCTAAAATTTTATTATATTAAACTAGATATATCAAGCTTTCCAACGACATATTTTATGTCTTAATCGGAGTTGTATAACTCCGGTTATGATTTTTGCAAAGTGACTACTGCAAACTGAATTTCCAGCAACCAAGATGTGACTTCAAAGTAACACTGAGATCAAAACACTTATCCAATGGCTACAACATTTTTCAAGGTTTTAGCTCTATGTGTTAGCTACACACAGGTTCAAACGACACTTGATGTGGAGCTTTGTAGCTCCAGATATCAAATTTTTACTAAAACAGGTTCGCTACCATCGTACATATCCAGATATTTTGCGACAGTAGACAAAAACAGCAGCTCAGCACAAAATAATCCATTAAAATGCTATCTTTTGCCTAGAAACATCTATCCTATCAACTTAACATGCATTTTAACACTTAGGTTCATGAACTAACGTTCAAATTATCAAAACTCATAAATTTACATCTACAAATCATGTTATTTTCATGAAAACACAAAGGTGTTGAGGTATATATCCATGACTTTCAAGACAAAAAAGGAAGAGACTTTTAAGGCTTTAACACCGTCTCCATGACCATCCAGCAAGGTGCACGAAAATGGCCTGTCAAATGATGGTTATTTTCCACAAAGATGGTTCCTGGAAGCTCCAAAGTGTGTAGGAATGGCTCTAACAACTCAACAAAAGAGAACATCCCCTCAACCTCAGCAAACAGAATATCAAACCCTTCAAGATGGTATTTTTCTCCTTTAACATCACTAACAACTAGTGTTTACAAGGATAGGATGATCCAATGGTAAAGAAAAGTGATGACTTTGGTTTGTTTCTTGAAGAATGATGAAACCCTAGAGGAGATGAATATTTTCTGCCATGAGAAGATATGAGAGTGCAATAATAAGGGTTTCAGAAAATGCCTAGGGTTGTGTGTCACTAAGCTATTTATAAAATCACACACTTAAACCAACAATATTAGCTTAATTAGTTCCGTTTTTTGTTTAACTCTGAAATTTTATATTCTTAACCTAGACATTTTTCTAGGAATTAACATATTTTTACATTAATTTTTTCGAGACACTTTGCCGGTACGC